ACACACACACACACACCGAACGCAAAGTTTGAACAACATTTCATTTCCTCCATTTGACATTGGCTTAATTTCTTTTCAGTTAATGTAGCATGTATCGTGCTGTGTGTGTATGTGTCAGTGGGTTTAAGCAAACTTGAAAGTGTGACAGAAAGAGACAGAGATTGGCTTCTGCTACTGTTGCTGCTGCTACTGATTATGATATTGCTCCTGCAAATTTACAATCGCATTCGCATTCCTCTTGTCGTTTCCCAGCCAAAACCAGTAGTAAACAAGCGCTGTGTTTTAGAGAGTGAGTGAGCAAACGAACCGCTCGTATTTACAGTACGGGAAACAAGCAGCATCAAGTAATGTTTTCAATTCACGTCTATTTGTACTGGTGAAGCCCCATTCGTACTCATTACCGTCGCCTCGTTGGATTCCTTCATGCTCCTTTCGTTTCCCGTAATATCACACGCGCCATGCCACATACATTAAAACGAATATATCCGCCTCGTGGCTCACATCAAACATCTATCTCTTGTATAAGTCCCGGGTGCTTTTGCTCATCGCTAAAGCGAAAAAAAATTGAAGAAGAAAAAAATGATGAAAAGAAAAGAGAGAGAGAGAAAAAAGCGAACGAAATTTAAAATTGTACGTGTTATTTACGAACGAAATACCTCTTTATCAAACAGCAACTCGTCTCGTTTCGTTTGTAATAAAGTTTCGCTGGGCACTGCATGAGTTGCGAGCCAGATCATACTCTTGTTTCATTTTTGGAATATATGGACAACGTGTTTGGGAACAACATGAAAAAAAGACTTTTAAACTGAAAGCTAGAACATTACCTTTCACGACTTAGCTACAACGACGAAAAAAAAATTCGAAAAAGAAACATTCCATTGATTTTTACAAGCAACGACATTATTCCCTTTATTGTTTACTTAATCGTCATCATACAAAGCGCAACAACACAAAAAAAAGAGCACAACAAACAATTGAGATGCGAACGATTGAGTGAGCTTAGGGGGGCCATTGAGTTGATGAGCGGTGCATTAAAAATATTAAAATAAATAACGCCCATTGAACAAAGTACCATATTTCACTTGAAAATTGCCATTTAACTTTGAACACTAAAAGCTTCTCAGTGGATCATGTATCAGCATCGAATTGAAAACATAATTCTGTAATTCTCTCTTTCTCTCTCGGCATTTTGTTATTTCACTCGCTGTTTTTCACATCGCATTTTTATTTTCTCTCTTCGTCTCCGCTCTGCTGTGAAGTATTTCGCTGTGTGTGCAGTTGAAAGGAAAGGAACAAAAAAAAAACACACTGAATGGCAAAGGTGGCATCAAACAGAAAAATGAATGGTGCTCTGTCAAGTGTGTATGTTCTGCATGTGTCGATATAATTACAAAAGCTGATAATTACATGAACTGTACGCCTCGAGTACAACGAGCAATTTTTCAACCGATCTGATTCTCTCTCTCTCTCTCTCTTTCTCTTTCTCTTCGTCATCTCTAGCTCTGTTCCCTTTCTCTCTTTTGACAAGTACATGTGTGTGTGTTGTTTCTCTTCAGTGCGTTCAACATTCCGTGTGCACTGACACACGAATTGCATTCGCACAATTTGTTTTTTTTTTTGTTAAGTTGTGCCTTTTCGATGCATTCAGCGGGCGTTGCATGCTTTATTCGCTCTTTCTGTTTTTTCGTAATCACAGTCTCGCTCGCTCGCTCCCGTTTTTTCGTTCACGACAATTGAAGTTTCATGTGCAAGTGAATGTTAGCAATGTTAGCCATAAACATGCATTTTCCGATAAATTGCAAAGCACGTTGGCACGCTGATTTCAGCAGTGCCCAAAACATACTTTATAATTGAGAAGTATGCACTGCGTTGCGGCGATATAGCGAAGCACAAAAAACCTACACATTTTGGATGCATCGCGCAAAAACGTTAAAATTACGCTTTTTGTGTGTAACTACACACAAACATTAAAATTTTAAAGCAACGGTGTTGGCCTCCACCTCTGATGCGCACACACACACATTCCAACATGTATCCGAGCAACGGCCAGCGAGGAGCAAGAGGAAGAGACAGAGAACGAAAGAGAAAGCTTTCAAGCGGAATAATTAACAGCCAAATGCATTAAAATTCATACAAATTTCGAAGAATCTCATTATCTAACACACACACACACACACACTCTGAACTGACAAAACAGAAATACCTAAATTCGATTCGGTGGCATTTTTTCGTCCAAAGCCAAAGCACTAAATGCAGGGCGATGAAAATGATTGGTTGAACTCCCGAAAAATCTTAAGAATTTGAATCATACGGGCGTTTATCAGGTCTGGATTTTATTGACTTCCCGAAACGAATTCCATGACTCTGTGTGCTGTGCATCATCCTTGTAACTGATAAATGAAATTCCTTGTGTCATTTTTCATATTCCGAAATAGAGTAAGCTCACGATGAGCATGGCACGATCAACAGTAACCATGTTTACCAACCATGTTGAAACTGCTAACATCACACGGGATAGATACTAAATGCTCGAGATGATGGCAGTGCGCCATAATATGGCATGTTGATAAATTCTTTATTACATGGTCATAAACAATTGTAGCTGGAATGTTCGCAGCCAAGATCGTGCACACGCCACCCAGTTTTCGACGAGTATTTTAAAAGCTTGTTTATTAAAGCAAGTTGTTCTCTTGCCATTGTCCTCCCCCGAAATCTACAGTACAAGCGCATCATATATATATTCCAAGCCTCGCCGAAAATGCAACAGAGACATAACAATTGCAATTCATTTTATTCGACAGCTTGTTGGAAAATTACGGTGAAGGAGCACAATAAAATTGCGTAATTTTGCAAACGAAAATGCTTTGACACATTTTCGACCTTGTTGAACTGGGCACATTACATTGACATTCACGAATTCATCTATTGAATAAATTAAAAGCTCATTGTCTGGCATCTGTCGCCTAAATAACACACCAAATCTCCTGCTAATGTTCTTCCGGTGATACACCATTTTTGAAGAAACATTTGTGTTGTTCTTCATGCTTTCTGCGGGCAAAATACCGTTTTTTTTTTTAATGTGAATCTCTTTCTGCCTTTGCCCGAGAAATTTCAAAGTTGGTTATCATCAAATAGAGCTGCTTCTACCGTTTTTTCGGTTTGTTGTGTTCCCATGAAATATGAAAGTTAATCTCCTCCAGTCCATAAATTCTGTATTCTGCCCTCAAGTAAACTCAAGAAAACAAAGACGAAAAGATTTAGAATAATAAAATTCTCTTCTTTTCCACCACCGACTCATTAATAGCCTCATTCCGATCTTCATTTACCGTTAAAACCGTAGTATCGATTTAGATTTTTAGCCCACATTTCGATCGATCAGCATAATACCATTTTTTTTTCGGCTATTCAAATCCGAATTTGTCAATTCCATTAAACGTTTGTGTGGCGTGATATTGTGGTTTTAAATTTAACGATAGAAGAAAGAAATTGCCATGTAATTTCACAGTCGATAAAAATGACGCAACAAAGAAGCGAAAAAAGAAAATTCGTCCCGTCTTTTGTTTGTCTTCCACCGTGACAGTTCATTTTTCACATATTTTCGTTCTTTTTCTTTCGCGTATTTGGCTTAATGTTTCCTCTTAAATTATTAATAAAACCCAACTGCTCAATGGGGAGTCGAGGTGAAATGTCACCTTTTTTGATGTCGTGCGCTATTTTCGCGCTCGTTTCTTTATGCGTTTGATGGAAATTGGCGAACCAATTTTGCGATATTTTCCAAAGAAAGCAAAAAAAAAATGTCTGTCTAGTTAAGGCTTTGATGGCATTTCTATTTACCTATTCACTTCGTTTATGCATCATCTAACTGAAATGTTCCATTTTTTCTTCGACTAAACAAAACGTTGTGAAAATTCCATTACGTACTTTCAAATTACTACGCATTTGCTTAACTTCACTTGAACGCACGAGAGAAAAAAAAATCAAATGTCTAAATATTTATCATGTGTAAATAATCGACACATTGAAATCATTTTCTGGTGAATTTATTGTGAACAAAAATTAAATGTCGTTTTCAGTGTTTATGAGGTGACGTAAATTTGGATTCATTATTTAGAAAGAAAGCGACCAACCGAAATGTGAATATCGAAGAAGAAAATAAAACATTCAGTGAATAATATTTGCAGAAACAAACTGTTATCTGAAAAATCTAATTAAAATCGCAATCAACGCCAAACACCGAAGATACGAAGAAAAAAAGTGAAAAAAGGGACGGTGTGATCTAGCAAAATACGGAGAATAGAAAAATAAAATGATAAAATACGACGAAAAATTTAAATGTTTTGTGTGATAATAGGAGAGAAAAAACACATCAAGTGGCGTAAACATAAGTGGCTGTTATAATTGAAATTACCACATTTCAAAAATCAACACAAACATAAAAAAAAAATATTTATTCGATGTTTGGCAACATACGTTTGAATAATTCATAAAAGCAACTAGAGAGGTGTGTATAAACTCCGTGTTCGAGTATCATTCAACTGTGTGCGCCGCACTTGATGAGATTTGTGAAAATTATTATAACCGAAATCACATTAAACACCAGATACCAGATACTTATGTTAAATTGGATCATTTATGAAGTAGCTGGATACAATCTAATCGGGAGAGTGTGAACAACAACTGTGTAGCTCGAGTGCCTAACAAACGGACCCGACCACTTGGTGAAGTGGGGATATTTGATTTGAAAATCGGAAGTGAGCACTTTTTTTTCGATTTTAAGAGTGAATTGTTGAGCGTTGAAAAAACATTCGGAAATATGATGTCCGCACACATAAATTCGATGTTGGAGCACCTTCGAGTGGGTCCATTGAAACGCATTATGCCGACTGAAGCCGATGATAGCGGTCAACAGAAGCAACAGCAGCAGCAACAACCGAAAGACGACCATCAACCATCGACGGCCAACGATTACGGCAGCAGCAGTAGTTCAACGATGATGGCCAAAGGCAATGGTGCCATTGTGAGCGGTGGCAGCGATGATGTTGATAACAGCCGTGTATCGGTGGTTATCAATGATACGCGCAAAAAATCGCTTAAAGAATTCCCAAACGGCGGTGTCGTTGGCATCATTGACGCCGAGAAAAAGTTTGATCCACGTAAACGGTACAGCATCAGTAACGGTGATCTACGTAGCAATGGTAAGGGACGTGAACTATCGCCCGCCGTCACAATGAAGCAACAACAACGCAAACTCTCGGCTGATATGCGATTGCGAGGCAGCAATTCACAGTTAACTGATGATTATCTACTTCGTCGACCCGTTCGCCTGCGTAGCATGTGCACGAATTTTGAGGTGTACGATTCATTACACACAAAAGCCATGGACGTAAGTACAATACACACACATACACACCCAATCTCATACCCAATTTAAATTCAATTTTAGCCCGTTTTGTTTCCTGTAAACTAAACTTTAGTTTGATTTTACATTGTTACGTTACACTCTCTGCCTTTCTCCGCTTGATTGTTGCCGTTCGTATTGATTTTTGACGGTCGGCGCCTAACGCAATTCAAATAATCGATCGACTTGAATCGGCTGCTATTATGCCACGGGGTGCCAAACGGTTATTTATGCAGCATAGAGAAATAAGCTGATGTGTTTATATCGATTCATTCAATCGAAAATGCTCATGGATGCCGTTCTATTCTTTCATTGAGCATTCACCTCAGTGCTAGATAAAATTTTATACGTATTCTGAATCGAACGAAAAACAATTCCCTCCATTCGTTTTTCTTCGCACTTGTTCCGCTTAATACTGATTTGATTATTTTGTAGCAAATCTCTTTCGATTTTTTTCTGCTTCTTCCTTTTTCCTGGTGCAACATCTATTTCGTCGCTCTTTTTTTTGTTGGAAATTCGAAATTCAACAAAAGAAGAAGGAAAAAAACGTGATTTTTCGGTAATTTATCGGAAGGAGAGTGTGAGAGTGAGGGAAAAATGCGCTCATTTAACCGAGAAGTTAAATAATCTAATTGTAAATTTTGGTTACGTCCTATAAAAACGGATTTAAACGGCGATTCTTCATTTGTACATGCCTTTTGTTCGAAAATAAAAGCCTACCCCAGCCCACTCGAATACAGAGGAGAAAAAAAAGAAAAAATTAGGATTCTAAACTGCAAAAAGGATGGAAGATTTTCATTTAATTAGAAACAAAAACATTTATGGTTTCAAATTATGGTAATGAAATGGTAGAGAAAATAACAGCGTGTGAGAGGGTTTATGCTAAGTCAGCGCACACTGCATAAAACTAGGGGCTAGGAACAAGTTGTGACATTCATATAGATTCACATATATTCATGCGTTCGTGGCTTTGTTATTGTTGTTGTACACTCACTGCACTGCGAATGTCTCGTATACACAATCACACGAATTCACAAATATTCGTACGGATTCGTCTCAAGCGCTTGTGTTCTTACCCCCTAGGCATAAAATCGGACAGTAATATACATTTTCCCAGCTTACCTACACAAGCGTTTCAAATTGCCATTTGAGAGAGAGAGAGGATGAAACGCGGAAGAAGAATGAGAAGGAGAAAGCGGGAAGGATGAAATTAAAGGAAACCTAAATGAAAATCGGATTAGACGTGCTAAAATGAAAGTAGAAAAAAAATGAAACGACAATGTTAGTGATGATTTAATCGGATATCTGCAAATAGTCGAAACATACTTTGATGAAAGTCTTTCGTGTTAGTTCCAGAGATGGAGTATATGTATATCAATTCGTTGTATTTACTGTACTCCGTACAGAACGGTATATATACATTGACATACCTTTGCGTTCGCTGTCATAAAAGTAGTAGCTCAACGCGTTAAACGCAAAGGTATACGTTTTAGTATATACCGATACACATTTCCATACACTTGTGGTAAACGATGAACCATCTCTGGTTAATTCCTTTGAGAACATTTTTTTCGAGTCAAAACCGGTTTAAAAACGTTCGGCTCTTCCATTCTCGTCTAATACCATTGATTTTACATGTAAAATAACAACAAGAAACGACAAAAGTGACCTCTCGTAGCGGCACAGTTGAAACTAACGAAACAAACACAATTGAACATGTCATTTTCATGTTCAGTGTTGGTTCTGTTGTTTGCCGTATAGCCGGAGAGAGATGTCTACAGCTTAGTGGCGTTGAATGACATTCAACACCTATGGGCTCTTCGAAATTACAGGACCAAGTGAGCAATAATGTGTGCTTTTATATGTTCTCCCATCCGATTTAATTCACGTAAACACATTTTTTTTGTTTACAATTTGAAAATCGGTTTCATTTTGTTTATAAATACGTTTTGGCTTTTTTTTCCTAACGAAGATCCTTGGATGTATTTCCCATGTGAAATTCAATGTCGCATGCATTGACGATGTCGCATGAGTGCTTTTCCCAACGGCATCTTTTGCGTATGTTCTTCCATCGCAATAAAAAAAAGTCTAAGCGATTGTATCAATGGCGCATAAAAGGTGTTTGGCATTTTGTTGGCGGTGCAAACACTCTCAAACTCACTTGAATTGAATATGTATTATTATATCCATAAATTTCATAAATGTTGTTTGGATTTATATGTGTTTGCCGAGATTTAGTCAGACAAACATTTGAAGGATTACGTGCTTCGTTCGATTCACAGGTTGGAGGAGCGTCGCACGCGATTTCTTCACGAATTGAATAAGTGATATTCAATGTGTGTGTGCAGTGTGCGAGCTCTTATTTGGGTATTCAATTGATTTTCTGATTGGTAAATTGAAGAATGTTCGTTTTCTGCCGCTAAACTTTCTTCCATTTATGCCAGGGACATTTTCGAAAATCCTCCACACAAATCGAATACCGTTCGGTATTTTTCTTTATTCGAATTTTGGAGTGTGTGTCAATTGTCGCACCTAACCACATTCAAACGATAACACTCGACTTCCGAGTTCGATAACACACGATATTGTTTCGATACAAACTTTTTTGTATATCTAATTTCATTGTGATTTGTGAAACAAACATCGAATCCATGCGAAAAGTCGATGGCATCAGAGGAGATGAGGCGACGTAAGAGACACGCTTGTGAAGAGGAAATAATAGGCTTCCATTAGTTCGGCTTTATATTTATTACTGGGTTGGTAAATTTTCGTATTTCGAGCGATGTGTAAGTAATTTACCTAAGAAACATGTATCTTACGTTTATTACGTAAGAAACCTCAACGCATGTAATGAACTCCAAAATGCTCCAAAAAGTGCAGGGTTATAGACAAAAACCGACTATTCTCGTTTGTTTTAAGCATTTAAAGTATACAGAGTACATACATGCTCGTTCTGCAGCGTTAGCTGATAAATAATTACCAAATATATTATTCATGCAAAAGTTTGAAACCACCATCTTTTTTTTTATAAAGAGTGTATTTTTTCGCAGTGTTATCAAGTACACTACCGTGCAAAAGTTTGGAACCACTAGGTATTTTTCATACAAATTGACCATTTTTGTTGGACTCATTAACATATTTCGGAAATACTTGCACTCTTCATATTTTGTGCATAGTTTCTATAACGTTTCAATAGTAAATCACAGAGGTTTCATCAAAAAATATTCACGTATTTAAAAAATATATAAATTTGAATTTGATCTGTTTTAATCTTCATACAAATTTGATCATTTTTCACACAGGACAAATTCAAATTGCTATATTTTTGAAATTTATGAATATTTTTTGATGATACCTCTGTGATTTACTATTGAAACGTTGTAGAAACTATGCACAAAATAACAAGAGTGCAGGTATTTCCGAAATATGTTAATGAGTCCACCAAAAATGGTCAATTTGTATGAAAAATACCTAGTGGTTCCAAACTTTTGCACGGTAGTGTATACGTGTAGCCAAATGAATTTTTGCATGCTTTTATGTTTGATTTAAATAATGTTATAATAAATTTTTAATAAAAATTTTCAACTATTTTCGGAAATATATTTATATGGAAATGCAGAATTACCGAATCACTATGCAAATATTTCCATAAATAGTTGATAGAAGACGAATGAAAACGTTGATTACATAATGAAATAATTACATGAAGAATATTTAATTCACTTTTTGTTCATCATCTGAATTAATTTTTTACATAACGAAAGAACAAAACTAAGATAGAATACAAATTTTCTTCATTTCCATTTGAAAATCTTTTGTTTTTTGCATTAGTTCTTTATGAAAAAATCATTCTCCAGAGTTTTTTTTTATAGGTTTCTTACAAATTCATGTAAATTACATGATTTTTCATAGGTAAATTACATGAAGTAATATACGTAACTTTAGTGTAAGATACACGATCAAGTTTCTTACGTACCAACCCAGATTTATTATCTTATTTTTCACATTCGTAGTCCCGAAGCAAAACATTCAACTCAAGTAATTCCAGCTAACGTTAAAACTTTTCATTGTAAATCTGCCATCTAACGCCGTTGGACTAACGGTTCGAAGTTGTGCAGGACAATCGCTGATTCTACGTCGCGGATGCGATGCGGAGTGGTGTGTGTGCAAATGGACAAATGGACTATTTGTTATTGATGCTGTCTATTTCACCCATAAATGGGAGCTTAACATTATGTTAGGTAGAGAGAGAGAGAGAGAGAGAGGAACAGAAAGTGAAAGAGAAAGCGAGAATACCGCTTCAAGCGGCTCAGTCACCACTCACGCACACTTTTGCACGTATTACCATAAATATTTACTTCTCTCTCTCTCTTTCTTTATTTCTAAGAGCCGAACAATGGCAACAAAAAACGGTCGCTCTTTCGGAATGTCATTACCTATAATGCCTGAGTAATGTGCTGTAATCTATGCTCTTTGCCACAAATACCAAACGAAAATTGGTACAATCAAAATACATGTTCGAAAGAATGAAGTGGATGATTTGACAATGGAGCCAAAGTTTATCCAAACAGAATGTGTCTGAGTGACTCTGGCATAGAAATGGACAGAGAGAGAGAGAGAGAGAGAGAGAGAGAGAGAGAGAGAGAGAGAGAGTGAGGAACGGGCAAAAAAAAACAATCGTGTACAAATAAATGTTTGGACAGATCCAATTAAGCTTTATTCAGGGATGAGAATTATGTGTATCTTATGTGCAGCATTTCAACTAAACAACCTGCCCGGTTCATTTATTATCAGAACAAAAAAGAATCGCATATTATCGGCGTCAACAAACGGTTAATGTTGACAATTACATTTATAAAAAAATACGGTGCACACGTTCGATGCTGCAAAGTTCGAACGTGTGTGACTGAAATAGCCCCGAGATTAGTTTGCATGCCTTGCGATGTTAGTCGCTGGATTCATCACAATTTATGGCTCATACGCAG